GAGAAAGATACAGTGGTTGAAAAGGCGACAATCTTTAGAGCACAATTCAAGATAGCATATGAGCTGCTTGTGCAGTGATGCGAAGCATAATCAAACAATATAAAAACTGAGGCAAAGCTTTATATTTGTAAAAGTATGCAGCTGCAAAATGGTAAAACATACAGTATTCAGTTCAGGAATGTAAAAAATATTTTATGTTCTGATTGTCTTTATAACTTTATTTTTTTCCATTAAACAGTATGCGTCCCTTTTCACCTGCCCACCTCTTTCATAATTATTGCCTGGTTTGCCTAGGACCAGGAAGCTGCAACTGATAACATTAAGTCGTCCAATTCTTTTTCTGTCTCCGAGGTATGACTTCATAATATAATGGCAGATGCATTCTAACTACTTTAGACCTTGCAGCTATAATAATTCGGAGAGGAATTGGATATATTAATGCCGTATCATCTGGCTGAGTATAGCTACATGCCACAGACAACTGACTGCTTAGCGCAAATCAATATCCTGGTAGAAAGGCAAGTCAGATTCAGGGAGGGAGACTGACCATTGATCAGTGTTTTATTTATCATGGATAGAAAATTAATTAATAATTAATTAAATCATTAATCTGGGACATCCTTTATGTTGTTCCCAGAGATAGATTTTGGGAGAAATGGGTTGCTTTCTCTGTTGTCCAAAGTCTTTGCTATGTAAAAAATGCATTAAAAAATCATTCAATGCAGCTTCACTGTATTATGATGGGGGGCCTTCCATCCTTAATCCCCATTGAAAAGTGAGTAAAACAAAGATGCATCTTGACTCCTTTTCTTTCTTTTTTTTATCTTTTATATTAATTATTTTATTATATGCCCCAGCGTAGGGTCAAGCCAACAGACCACTGGGCAAGTTGGACAATGCAGCCATGCTTTCTACAAGATAAATTGACCTGAAACAGAATAATGGATCCCGTATTCCCTATTATTGCAAAGGAAAAACTGGTTCCCAGTTATAATAAAGCCAAAGGTGTTTTGTTTTCTCCAAAAGGCTTGTCATCTGCTATCTCTCCTGGAAAATTAACAGTTTTAGTATCAACGAGATCAAGATCTTTAAATATTTCAGTGTTTCTTTTTACCCACCAGTATTCCAGAAGAAATAACAAAGGGCTGTCATTACTCAGGCCCACAAATTCTCAAATATTATCCTACAATATGCTAACTGTGGTGGTAATAACTTGCCAGCTGCAAGAGAAAATATTTAGAATTAAGGTAATCAGCCACCTGGTATGCAGAACACAATTTGCTATCATCATGATTTAAGTTCTGTTCAAGCTGTCTTTCTACAACATAGTTGCAAGTTTCCCAAAATGTATTTAATTTTCTTTTGTGATTAATCTGGACTAATCGTTGTAGAAATTCATATGTGGTTTGGCCACCTGAATTTTTGGCTCAAACTAATTTTCACTGGAAGCTCCTAAGCTTCCCTCACCTTATAGGAAAACTTACAGGAAAATTTTCTGTTACCATGGAAGCTAGGCATTGAACTAGATTTTAAAATTCTTTGAATTAACCTTTCTCACTTGACTTCACTTGTTCTGGTAGAGCTGAAGAACAGACTCTTGACAACAATATTCAGTATGACCTAAGCAGAACCACATGCCTTGTAAAAGGAATATCTTTTTGAAAAGTTCTCTTCCTCTTCTAATATTCTTTGGCCAACTCACACAAGAGTTTTTGCTCTCATTCAGTTTAAAGTTTTGCCATCCTCACTGCTGGAAGGGAATTTGCTCTGTCTGTTGGGGAAAATAGAATCATTTGGTTTTGCACTGTTTTTTTCTGGAGCTTGGTGAACTGACCTAATAAAGCTTCTGCTAACTCACAGTTATGGTAGCTCTGAGGACGAGAACATTCTCCTCAGACCAGCCATTTCTGGCCTCCAGAAGGATCACCAAATTAATTAAGCAATTTGATGCTTAATAGTGCAACAACCGTTAATTTTACTTACAGCTTTATATTTTAATACATTCCCTTAGTGTTTAAGCTTTACTTGACATGTATTATTTTTTTCTTTGTTTGGGGGTCAATAAAATTTAAAATTAAAACTGACTTTATAGCTGTAATCATTTAGCCTGGTTCATAATCTGGTAAACCATGGTTAAGTTAAACATTTAAAAAAACTCGAGTGGGTTTATACAAAATGTTAGGTCACAGATTATATTTTACAAATTCCAGAGGCCAGTGTTCATACAACTTTCTGAAGCAAGCCAAATCATATTGGGACTTAGGTAACCAACCAACATAAGATTCACTGTACAAAATCCATCTATACAATGATTTTTGGAAGGGTGTCTAATGCTATATATTCACATGTACATTCATTTATTATATGTTTAGGAAGGTATATTCACTTATACTTTCATATACATATTAGAGTTGCATGGACTTTCTGCAGAACAAATGCAGACAAAAGGCTTCCATTAAAAACATATAAATATAGTATCTTTTGTCTCAATGACAGTGTGCACAACACACTGTTTTAAAATAGAAGCAAAAGGACAGATTCAAAATTATTTTCCAGTGGGGGGTTAAATGTAAACATAAAAGATGCACCAGAATACGCATTGTAATGTATTATTGTGAACAGTATGATTTCTAAGATCGGCCACACAAAAAATCTGTATTTAATGTTTTCTTTTTTTCATAACCACCAACTTGAGAAAACTCAATTTATCCACGAGCCGTACATTCTGGAAATTTAAGAAAAGGGTTACATTTGTAACAGGTTTTCACATACATCTTTACATTGATTTGGAGAATGAATACATATCCAGGTGTAATAAATCCTAATTTTCACCATTTTTTACCATTGTCCATGTGAGCGAATAGATTTGGAATCCACAGCTATCTGAAGAATAGATATATTTCTTACCCATTGTTTAGAGTTTCTTTTTCACCAAGCATTCATTTTAATTTCCTATGAATTTTCACACAATTTAAAGGAGTAGAGTACAGAAATAATACGCTGCAAATACTGTATATTCTTGCTTTGACAGTTCCTGTCTCAGCAGCTGTACAATAACAACATGCCTAAATCTCTTTGTTTCAATGAAATGTATTACTAAAAATGTATTTAGGATGCTTGCTTGATACAACCTAAGATTATTAAATTAATCACAGTGAAACAAAACCATATCCTCAGATGATAAAAACTGCTAATTGCAAGGATCAAGGGCTCAAATGAGAAATCTTTATTTCTAGCTCATTCGTCTATCTGATACTTGGCTTTCTTTACAAAGGGATTCTTTTTTTCTCTGATGGTCTCCAAATGTATTGAGATATCCTAGCAGTATCTGTTGATATTCTGCTCTTAATTACATTTCATTTCAAATCTAATCCTATTGATAGAACAATGACATTTTCTTTTCCAAGAGTATAAAAATACTTCTAAAATATATTATTATATTTAGATTAAGCAAGCTGTCATATAAAAGTCATTCAAGGTACATTTAACAATTATCTAATTTTTAGTTTTTAAAAACCCAAGATATAAAATGAACTAAAGCAAGAAATAGAGGACTACCCCATCTTTATAAATTTAATGTCCATGAAGTCAATCATGAAGCATGCATGATGATACAAGGGTTCTAACTTCTGCCTCAATCTATTAAAATAAATAGAAATACTTTTATTGTGCATAAGATTGACCCCTTCAATTCTATCATTAAATGTTAAACAGACAAAAGCCATCTACTACAGGGTATCTATACAATCCAGAGAAGCAGAAACACTCATTCATACAGTGTCCTTTTCATGATGCCCCAAGACATCTTCTGATCATCCCAATTATTTCCAAGTATGAGGGCTACACTGATAAATTTTCTATTTATTATCTTATCATTTTTAAGGTGTGCTAACCCTTAAAATATCAAATATCAACTTGGTCAAATATTCTTCACCAAGTTATACAACTTTTAATTAGACATCTTGTTTTATTGTCCTATATTTTAACTTTCCCAATAACAATTGGTTGGTTCAAACTCTCTTTTTAATGTAAAGGCTGGTCAAAGACCATAATAAAAAGGGTTGATTTGATTAGATATGGGGGAGGTAACTATATCATCACAAAGGAAAAGAAGCTTTTAGTATTGCTATAATAATAATAATAATAATAATAATAATAATAATAACAACAACAACAACAACAACAACAACAACAACAATAATAATAATAATAATAATAATAATAATAGAGCTGGAGGGGACCTTGAAGGTTTTCTAGTCCAACCCCCTGCTCAGGCAGGAAATCCTATACCATTTTAGACAAATGGTTGTCCAGTCTTATGATTTTTGGTATTGCCAGCATAAATGAGTTTAAAGGCAAGAAACCTAATATAGGTCTCTAGAAAGTACCATGTCCCTGGTCATTCCCTGGCAACCCAATAACATGTTCAGCTCTTGATCTGTTCATTGTAAGGAATATCATCTACTTCTGAAAGAACACTACTTCAAATACTAGCCCATCCCTTAGTATAATAGAGAAATTTAACTTCCTTTTTTCCCTTGGCTGTGGCACTAATCATGTAAGTGAATCCAATCTGTTTCTCTTCTGATGTTGTTATTGTTAATACTGTGCACTAAATATTAAAGTTTAGTTTTTTATGGTTACGGTTTAGTATTTATGGATTATCCACATGATAGTTTTTCTTGAGATAAACTGCTTTGCGTTAAATTTTTCTGAATAACAGCTAATAAACTATAGACTGAACATAATAAATAAAAATCGCATATCAGTAAAATAAAAAACAGGCTTATAGGCCTAGTGTATTTCTCTGTTCGGCAGAGTGCCATGCAGACATAAGGAACACATTTTGAAGATACTACATTCCTGCAACTTTGTTTAACAAGAGAAAACAATGATCCAGGAAGCTATTACAACAGAAACGTCATGTTTTGTGATTGTAATGTAATGCCATCATAACACATTTTGATGCCATCAGTTATTTAGACAGGTTTCCTGCTTACCTGTGTTCCAACTCTCGTATGGACAGAATAACTCCAGAAGTTGATGCCTGCTGCTGTATGGTGGTCAGAAATGTGAATTCGCTTTTGTTCCGGAAGAGCTGAATTAACTTCTCATTTGTGTGGGATGCTGCATGGATTTCTCTATCTACAGCTAAAAAGAATGATAAAAATAATGAGGTAAGAGAAAAAAGAAAGAGACATTGCACTAAATTTTTCACATTAGAAACCATTAGGACTGGTTCATATTTTCATTCCCCATGGAAATCATTTCCATATTTTCATTCCCCATGGAAATCATTTCCATTCAGAGAGGGCACGCAACTTGGGTGTCCTCCTGGATCCACGGCTGACATTGGAAGACCATTTGTCGGCCGTGACCAGGGGGGCGTTTTATCAGGTTCGCCTGATTTACCAGTTGCGCCCTTTTCTGGACCGGGACGCTTTACGCACAGTCACTCAGGCCCTCGTCACCTCCCGCCTGGACTACTGTAATGCTCTATACANGAGATCCGGACGATTCCGGATCTCCTAGCTTTCCGCCGCGCCCTCAAGACATGGCTTTTTCAGCAAGCGGGTCTGGCCTAGGGTGAATTTTTAAATAGGGACAATTTTAATGATTTTAATACGACACAGCGACAAATATTTGTTTTTAATTGGTTTTTATTGGGGATAATGTTTTATATTGTTTTAATATGCTGTGAGCCGCCCTGAGTCCTGTGGGGAGAAGGGCGGCATATAAGTCCAATAAAAGTAAAGTAAAGTAAAGTAAAGTAAAAACCTGCGTCTCCTTTGGTAGTGCTGTACTTGGGTGCAATGTGAAAACAGAAAACATCCTCTTTATCAGTTTACCCCATTTGTCGCCCTGACAAGTTCACAATCAGGCATCTACTGATTTTCTGACAGAGTTTCCGACAGGAAATGATGAACTTATTCAAGTCTGCCATGAGCAGATTACATTGCTGATTCATGAGGTGTGCGGAAACAAGATAATAGGCTCCCAAATTTAAGGGGCCTGGCTGAACCCTGAGTCACTGGCAAAGCTGAAATTTCAAAGTTACTACCATCTCTGTTTCCCTCTATTTCTATTGAAGCCAAAGAAATTGCTCTGACTCTTGATGCACTGGCAGAGATCTATTATTACTAGCAATGCTCTCTCGGCATCCTTACCTCCCCACTCCCCCCCCCCATCCATAGATTTAATACATCATCATGGATGATGTAGCTACAGGAGTGACAGTCGATTTGGGGAGTTCTCTGTTTACACAAGCCAAGTATTGCTTTCATGCAGTATTTATTAGACTTCAACTTGATGTTTTAGAGATGCACATCATTCCCACTGCCCTCAACTTTCGGTCACATTCCCTTTAGCCTCTTTGGAATGAGAAATAAAACAACCAGCATGAAAACAGCAGATAATGATAGCATCACTTGCTCACCTTTTTACCCATACTTTCATAGAATCATAAAACCATACAATCATAGAGCTGGAACAGACCTTGGAGGTTTTTCTAGTCCAACCCCCTGCTCAATGGAGGAGACCTTAGGTCATCCCAGACAAATGGCTGTCTAATCTTTTCTTGAAAACCTCTAGTGATGGAGCACCCACAACTCCGGAAAACAAACTGTTGCATTGATTAATTGGTTTTAGTGCTTTTCATATCCTAGCTTTTTTGGGGGGAGGCTATGTTAATTATATAGTATAGGTAGTCCTCGACTTACGGTAGTTCATTTAACAACCCTTCAAAGTTACAATGGAACTGAAAAAGTGACTTATGACCATTTTTCACTCTTATGACCATTGCAGCATCCCCATGGTCACGTGATTAAAATTCAGATGCTTGGCAACTGGGGTCATGTGATCAGCTTTTGCGGCCTTCTGACAAGCAAAGTCAGTGGGATGCCAGATTCACTTAACCATGTTACTAACTTAACAAAATGCAATGATTCACTTAATAACTGTGGCAAGAAAAGTCATAAAATGGGGCACTTAACAAATGTCTCACTGAGCAACATAAAGTTTGGGCCCAATTGTGATCGTAACTCGAAGACTACCTGTACCACTCCTGAATTCCATTAACAGTTTCTTGGAGTTTTTTTTTTCTTCAAGGCCAAAGAATTGACTCTAATTCCATATGTAGTAACAGTAACATTCCAGAAATACCATTTTGGTAATTTTTTTTCTGCTGGGGAAATCTCATGCCAGCAAAACAGAAAAGGGGCCAATTCTCCTTTTCTCCTGCATATTTTACATATGCTGTAAAAAAAACCGACCTGCTCTTTGTAGTTGGGAAACTCAACAGCAAGTTGGAAGAAGAACAAAACAGAACAGATGAGCAAGTCCCAGAGCAGAAGTGAAAATCTGTTCGTGTAATGTTGGATTTTGTCTCAAGGCAGGATCCCAAATTGAACAAAAGCCTGCTTAAGCAACATTAACTGCAGCTGGAATTTCCAAAAGGCAAGTGTGTTGCATGTGTGTGTTTAAGTAGTCTTCTTACAATATTCTAAAACACACGGATCATGGTAAGTACTCTTTCTAAGATATACAATTGTTTTTACTTAGTATATGTCTACACCATTTATGCAATTACGTCTCGGCAATTTATAAGATAAATAAAAAAATATGCAAAGATGGGTATTAAAGATAATGAAATTGATATAAAAACAAGTACACTGAAATGGAAAAAGAAAACTAGGAAAAAAATATTCACATAGAGAGGGTTTGAATGGTGAGATTATTCCTCCACAAGCACCATAAAAATGTAATAATAAGCACTTTGTGGATTTTGGTGGGAACAGATTAGAAGGCAATCTGTTCGATTTATTCTGGCCATAAATTGTTTAATACTTTATATATCAGAAGCAAAGCCAGGAAGGTATAAGAATTAAGCTACTGAGCTAGCACTGGGGAGTTCCAAATTGATGTCTACTTTCAAGCATAAAAGCTCACTGGGTGACTTGGAGCCAGTCAGCCTCTCTTAGCTTTGCTTGCCTCACAGAATTGTGATTGTTGTAGGAGACACTGAAGGAGAAAATCCTGTACACTCCATCTTGAATTCCCTGGTGCTTCGATCAGCAACTTGGCTGCCATACATTGTAGCTTCTGGACCAAGCATGTAAGTAGAATGCATTGTGATAATCAGCAGTGTACAAGCCAGGAATTAGCTTTCAATCTTTATATCATCAATTACTAATCATATATCCCATCAAACACTCTGGGTCACTCTGTATATCTTCCAAGGGTTTCGACTGATAGTCATATATTGTGGGAAACCACGGGTGTCTTGAGAAATTCAGGAAACAGATTATAAGTATTCTCCATCTACCTGGGCCCTTCTGCATGCAGGACATGTCCTTGCTTGAGGCCACTAACTGAATAGAAAGCAAAAAGATCAGAGCTCCAAGCCTCCTATTTGACCCTATATTGATTGCTGCAATAACCATTTCACAGAAAACATACCTATACCTTTCTGAATGTAACATTAAACCATCAAGTCAAGACAGCCTCATCTTCAGGGTATTAGCCTCTTATCTTTATCTATACAGTGTTTGCTTGGTGGCTCTACCCATGTAGCTCTACATTCAGCATACAGGTGAACTGGCACGTAGCAAAATGCAGAAGTTTGAGCACAGGCCAAAGAAAAAATACTATATTCTTCACAACATTCAATTAACTGCTGCTTAGTGATTACATTCTTGTTTTCCTACACAAAGGCAAAATTGATTATATTAATAATAGCCAAAATTCACTGATACAAATATTCAGTTCTTATTTACCCCAAACGATAATCAGGTCTTTGTAAATTATCATTTCATATCCCAAAGATTTGACTTCTCATCTTACTAAGCTCAGTGTGGAGAGCATTAGTGTTACAAACTGACTTTAAACAACCGAGTCCACTGTAAAGCATCTCATTATGGAGTGTTGATATGCATCTCACAAAAATGTTTAGTGTCCTTGAAATCCTGAGAATTTAGAACCTTTCTTTCATAATAGAAGAAACCACAGTTTCCATTGAGAGTAAGGGTCACTATCTCTGTTTTTCATACTCAAGGGAAAGGAGCAGTGGTGGGATTCAAATATGTGAACAACCAGTTTTCTGTGTGGATGCCACTTCTGGACGTCCGTTCTGGGCCTGAGCAACAAAAACTTAGCTACCGGCTCTGCCAAAGTGGTGCAAACCGGCTGAATCCCACCACTGGAAAGGAGAGGGGGGAAAAATCACCCACCTTTCAGAGACATTCCCTGTGAAGATAGCATTCTCATCAGAAAAAAGTGATACAGGTGTGGGAAGAATCCAGAGAAAGAAATATTTTGGGAAATATTAAAAAGGCAGAATATATTTCTCCAAAGGAATAATGGAGAAGATCTTTAAAAGGCAGAAACTTCTCTATCCCCCCCAGCCAGAAAACTCAGCAGAAACCAGAAATGCAGATGTAATAATCCATTCAGGAAGGTTGGGGCCAGGAAGCTAGAAGCTATGAGATTAGGAAGACAAAAACCTCTAAAATCTGCATGCCCCACCCAAATTCTAAAAGACATGACCTTTGGGGACATAATAGGATTAACCCACCAATACCAAAAGGTCACACTCAGACTCAGGTCAAAGTACATGGCACAGGAAATACAAAGCCTCAAACAGGAACAGGAAACAACCTCCAGGTGTTTTTTTTACACCCAGAAGGTGTAAAAACCCACCACTCCCAGCAACATGTGGTCAGCTTTCCCGGAGCCATGCTTCTGTCTGGCTTTGCTCTTCAATAAATTCCAACTTTCTTTCTAAAGCAGTCTCCATTTTGTTTATTCCCGGCTTGGACTGGACCCTGATTAAGATTTTTCTTTCAACACAGGTTATCCTCAACTTACAACCACAATTGAGGGCAACATTTCCATTGTTAGCAAAACAGTTTTTAAGTGAGTTTTGCCACCTTTTTCAACATTTCTTGCATGGTTATTAAGTGAATCACTTTAATTGTTAAATGTCTATGGAGATTCTCAATTATCCAGGCTATGGTTGTCCCAAAGATGCTTTTCCAAAATGCAACTGAACTTTCTTGGTTTTTTTCCCTTGGAAAAATCCTTCCACTCTCCACCAGTTGCCTTTTGGAAAAGCACCTTTGGAATTGCAGTTGATAAGTTAGTAATATAGTTGT